CCCCAAAACCCCAAAACCCCAAAACCCCAAAACCCCATAATGAAATTATAACTTGAAATTGAAGTGATGACATTTAATTATTACTATTCATAATATCATTAGTTAACCTACTGTTGTTTATCACTGTAACCCGATCCTGATCCTTGCATCAAATGGAGTGATTTACTTACTTGTTCTTGTACTCTGATTGGTTCAGCTGGGAGAACAATGGTGTTATCCTTACTTGCTAATTTAGCATAAGCTTGAATGTATCTTTGACCCATCAAGAATTGTGCAGCATCAAGACCTCCTTATTATTTCAAAGCTTGATCAATTTGGTTAAGTGCTTGAGATGAGGCTTCAGCTTGAATAATCATAGACTCAGCAGCTCCTTCTGCTTTTAATACAGCCGCTTTTTTCTCAGCTTCAGAGACATTAATGCTTGCTAGTTTATCTCCTTCAGATGTGAGAATGCTAGCTCTTTTACGTCTTTCAGCTTCTGCTTAAAGAATCATAGACTTTTAAATGTTGCTGGGAGGTTCGATATCTTTAATCTCATATCTTAAGGCAGATATTCCCCAATCCTTTGTTTCCTTACTTATAGATTTGATGATATTTTGATTCAAAGTTTCTCTTTCCTCGAAAGTTTTATCAAGAGTGAGTTTACCGATCTCAGATCTCATGGTTGTTTGAGCCAAGTTAGTGATGGCTGAGTAAATATTCTCAACATTGTAAGATGCCTTTTGTGGATCAACTATTTCGATATAAAGTACACCATCAATATGAAGAGCTACATTATCCTTAGTAACTGCTACTTATGATGATATTTCAATGACTTGCTCTCTTAAGTCATGTACATATTCAACTGAATCAACAAAAGGAATCTTGAAGTTAAAGCCTGGCTACATCAATCTGTCATACTTCTGGAATCTGTGAATAAGACAAGCGTACTTCTCTCTAACAAATACAGCTAATCCTAAATTGATCATTCCAGATTTAAAGTTTGCTCCATCGTTTTTAGTAGCGAAGCCTCTCACCTATCTATTCATAAATTTGTTGCCTATCAACATATTCTAAGTGTTCAGCCTATTTTTTTAATGACTCAAGTGATTATAAATACTGCTTGCTCTCATGCGGCTTATTTTTATTATTATAACTATTATTATTAATTCAAATTCAATTATTTTTTTATCAGAGTCTTGAATATTTTAATGCCCTGGGGTTTTGGGGTTTTGGGGTTTTGGGG